ACATTTATGGAAGCAATCCAGAAAGGTAATTATGTAGACAATCAATGTTGGTTGAATACACTCACAGATTATTATAAAGATACCCTAATGAACAACAAGAAGAAAGAACCAATGTCGCGAGGGATGATACTACAACTAATAAATAAAACAGAACAGGAATTCACAGAGTCGGGGGCGTCAATTGATGACATGATCCCGGTATTTATAAAATACAGAATGCGTGTGAGAATAATAGACCAACTGGGCAAAATCATTTATTCTTATTCACCAGAGATGTTTGACCGCAACATCAGAGCCTTTTATGCAATGGTCAAAAATAATCATATCTACACACTGAATAATAATATTAAAAGATTGGAACAAAAACAAAATACTGATGATGCATTTGTAGTAAAGGCACGGCCCGACTATCATATAAGTGATAGAGAGAAGCCATCGATTTGCAAAATGTTTTCTACTATTGATGACATTTTTGAATGGTTAAGGCAACAATTGCAAACAGAACCGACAAACAGGAAAAGAACTTTTTAGATTTAGTTCATAGAGAGAATGATCTAAATAAATTATTTTGCGATTTCAAAAATATCGGGTATGAATGCAAGATTGTTCACAAAGCAGGGACTATTTCAGAATTGAGGGCGGGCTTCAATAATGTATATCTAAACATTAGGTCACAGTGTCTGATAGACGACCAGATCAATAGTGACATCACAGTAGACAGAGAAACGGTTTACAACAATATGACTGAAGCGATGTTTACATTCAAAAAGAAACTATTCAATCCAAATCACAAGTCTTATTATAGTCCTACCGATATACAAGTTTTAAATAATTATAGAACCATCGTCCCACAAGGCGAGTTACTCAAGGGCTTGGATAAATTGGATGCTCCAAAACAGGAGATCGACATGAACAAAGCGTTTACAGATGCATTTAATACGATTACCAGAATAGGAGTTTTTAATCAGTTTGATAATTGGAAAGCTTACAATAGTAAATGTAAGATCAAGGATGTAAATATATATTTGGTAAAAGCAGAACTGACACATCGCAATCTGTTTTTTAATAATGATACTAATATAGTTTATGGTATGTTTCTTAAGCATTTTATGCCACTTGTTGCATCTGGCGAGTTGTCCATTACTCACTACAAACAGCCACATTTCATTCACAAGGTAGATAATAAAATGTTGGTTGAGGACCTCTGGGGAAAGCGAATAAGCGAAAATATTGAAGAAGACAAGGCAATTAAAAAAATAATAGCCAACTCGATTTTTGGCTTGTTGGAAAAAGTAAGAACAGTAGTCAGAGATCATTCGTTTTTAATGATCTCAATGAGGCGATCAGCCTTCAGGCAGATGCAGGGGGGAAGTTAAACATGATGAGCAGGAATACTGCCAAGTGGGTTGAGGAATATGATGATAATGGCATGTGGTGCCGTGATAGAGAAGTATCTGAACAAAACGACAATTTATATTATATTCTGAATGTGGTTGATAGGTGCGAGTTGTCCAATGGGTTTCGTTTTATTAAAGAAATGCTATTGCAGTATCATAATTTTAAAATGCAATGCGCATATCAAAAGTTGACAGAGAACAATGTTAAGGTATTGAGTGTCAAATGCGACGCTTTTGTCGTGGACTGTTCGGGTTTTAATAAGTTTGGTTTGAGAAAGACTCAGCAGTTGCTAGATTTTCACGATGGGATCGGTGGGTGGAAATTAGCCAAGACTCACGATGAGATACATCATACAGGAAAGCAGTTGTATGAACAGAAGAAGTGTGAATATGTTGATATCCCGATTGTCAAAAGTAAGAGAGTTAACATCATTAATGAGTATGATGAAAATGAGTTGGTTGAACTTGTTGAGAAATATAGGTGCTTGATGATTAAGGCTAAATTCGCAGGAGCAGGGAAGTCCACCATCTGCAAGAACATGGAGAGACTCAAGGGTTATAAAGTGTTGTTCGTGGTTCCTACCAATAATCTGGGTTTGGAGTGCGAAGTGGAAAGCGTCACTGTAAATAAATTCTTCAGTATAGCAGTCAATGACGAGAAGCTAGATAAATACGATCATTCGATGTTTGATGTCATTGTGTTTGACGAGATTTGTTTTAATAATACCTTTGTATTGGCAAAAATCAAGGGCTTTGTTGAGCAGTTCAAGGAAAGTAAAATAATGTTGGCAACCGGTGACGCCAAGCAGTTGAGCCCCATAAAAGCACTGACTAACACTAAGAAACACGAGATTTATATGAATGAATGTATTGACAGCAATTTTCCTCATCATTTGTTTTTGGAAGAGTGCAAGCGATTGAAGACTCAGGAGGACAAGGATAAACTTAAAAGTATTTATGCCGACATCTTTGAGCATGAGTTGTCTCTACATGATGTCATCAATAAGTATTTTAAATATACCGATGACATCACAGGAACAGAAAGCAATGTCGCATATTTAAATAACACTTGTAGAGAGGTTTCAAGGCAGATCAGAAAACGACAGGGCAAACAAAATGAGTTTGAAGTCGGCGAGATCATGATATGCAGAGAGTATAGGAAGACAAAAACCTATAAGTTAAATGTGAATTTTTGGTATGAGATAATTAATATTTCCGATCCTTGGATTACCATTGCTAATATCAAAACACGAGAAGAGATTACATTACATATTGGTATCTTGAGAAGTCATTTTATCTTTGCCTTCTGTTATACTTGTCATTCTGTTCAGGGGTGTTCCATTGATGACGATGTCACCATTTTTGATTGGAACCATCATCTGATAACTCGCGAGTGGCTTTGGACGGGAATCACTCGGGCAAGGGATTTAAACCGAGTAAAATTTTACAAATACAGTAGTGATTTAAATGAAGAGTTTAACGCAAAATGCATTATGAATTATTTTGATAGAAAGGTGTTAGCATACAAGGAACAGGATCGTAAAAATGGCTTTTGTATTCCAAAAGAAAATTATGTAGATGCCGAATGGTTGAAGGACAACGTCAATGGTAAGTGTGCCAACTGTGGCTGTGGTTTCGTGTTGTCAATGGATTCTGGCAATATAAATTCTAATCTGACTTGTCAAAGGTTATGTAATGATCTTCCCCATACAAAGGATAATGTCATTGCCTTCTGTGCTTCTTGTAATAGATGCTTCAGTGATAAAATAACATATTGATATTTATTTTATAGTATTATTTATATATATGAGTGAAAAAGACAAGATAATCAGTGAGGTCTACTACGATCAGGCGGGGTTTGGTAGCATCGCCACCACTTACAAAGATGCAAAAAAGAAAGATGCATCCATAACAATGCAAGATGTCAAGGAGTGGTTTCAGGAGAACGTGGAACGGAAAAAACAACTGTCTGGATACAATTCGTTTATTGCCCCTGATATCAACTTTGAATATCAAGTGCATTTGTTTTTTATATCAAAAAATGATTTAGATAATCAAAAATATAGGATAGGCTTATTGCTTATTGATGTATTTTCCCGCAAAGCCGTGGTGGTGCCTATTGCATCCAAGCAACCTGCTGACATCACGGCTGGGATCATGGAGGCATTAAACAAAATGGGAGGGAAACCCAAATTAATTTATTCGGATGACGAGGGAAGCCTGAACACCCAAGATCTTGTTGATTTTTTCAAGGACGAAGGGATCCAAAACTATAAAACACGAGGGCACCCCCATTTTGCCGAGCGTTTCATTCGCACGTTCAAGGACATGCTTTTCAAGAGGGTTGATGCAGACGAGAAAAAGGGAAAGGTTAATATACAATGGGTTGATTATATCCCCGAGATCATGCTGACATACAACAGTAAAATGGTTCGTTCTGCCCACGATATGACTCCAAACGATGCCCACAAAAAGGGAAACCATCTTGAGGTCAAGATGAAGCTTGAGATGAACAGAATCAAAACCCGTAAATATCCCCCTGTTAGGGTTGGTGATGAGGTCAAAATATACCGCAAAAAAGGGATTTCCGAGAAAGAAAGAACGAGCTCATGGAGCAGTGTCAAATACAAGGTTTCAAGGGTTGAAAAAAAACTTGGTCAAGATTATTATTCTGTTGAAGGGATGAACCGCCCCTACTTGAGGTCAGAGATTCTGAAGGTTTGAAAAAATAATATCTAAACGGTTCTAATAGCTGATGAATCTATTAGAACTGTTTAGTGGGACAGGGTCGGTCGGTCGCATCGCCCGTGATCTGGGGTTCAATGTCATTTCACTGGATTTGAAGGGTGCTGACATAAACCAAGATATTTTACATTGGGATTACAAACAGTTTGATCGGAATCACTTTGATGTTATTTGGAGTTCGCCCCCGCGCACTGAATACAGTAGAGCCAAGACAACAGGGATCCGCAAAATAGACTATGCAAATTCCATTGTTTTGAAGACCCTTGAGATCATTGAGTATTTTAAGCCCCGTTATTGGTTTATTGAAAATCCCCAAACTGGACTGTTGAAAGAACAGGAGTTTATGAAAGGGTTACCTTTTTTTGATGTTGACTATTGCAAGTGTGGGATGAGATACAGAAAGAGAACTAGGATCTGGACTAACCTAACGACATGGAAACCAAAACCATTGTGTAAAAGGGATTGTGGGAATGCGGTTGATGGGAAGCACGTTGAAACTGCGCAACGGTTGCCACCCGGAAAGAGGAATGAATGGGGTTTAAATCCTATCGTTCATACTGTTGATGAGTTGTATCGGATACCCCAAAATTTGATTAGTTATATTTTCACAAGCCTTTGATTCAGAAGAAATCCCCAAAAATAAAACAAACCATTCCAAACAGTCCACCCCCCGTCCCGCACCGCGCTACGACATCCTCATCTACAAGACAATATGTGCACCCGACGTGTCTTATCCAAGGTGAGAGTGCCAGTGCAACAGAGTGCTTCGCTTCACTCGGAACTTGTGACTTTGCAGTTGGTGCTCAAGCATTTTCGGATTTGCCCAGCAATACCTCATTTCATCTTGTGCTTCCTGTCATGGCATCACTGGTGTTTGGGGTGGTGAATGGGAATGCCCGCGCGTTTGCCATTGAAAGCGGAGGTGTCTTTCTTGACATGAACGACATGAGACAGTGGGACATCACAGACGATGAAGAGCGTTTGACCGCCTTGTTGGGCAAAATGAGCATGGCAAAGATTGACCAGACCTTGGACTCGCTGGGTTTCTCTACCAGAAGAAAGAGTGGATGCACCAAAGCGGGCATGATTGCTTCATTCCTCCATCACTGGAACAACATCAAGGCAAATGCAGAGGAGCTGATTTCTTGGCGAGGTGGAGGCACTGCTTCATCTTCGCATACTGCATCTTCGTTCACTGCTTTTTCTGGCGAGGCACACTCATTGAATGACGAGGGCAATGAGGACAAGAACAACAACAATGCCACCGTGTCGGTTCAAGTCATTCACCACATCGACGGGCGCACTGTTTCCTTGGGGGACTTCATGCTCAACATTGATGTTGGGCTGAGTGTCTCTTCTTTGGTTTCTGTCATCGCCAAAGGCATTCGAGGTGCTTTCAGATCCAGCTATGACTTCAAGCAGGTGCTCATGCGCAACGGCACCTACATGGTTGACCCCATCATTTCCCTACAGAGTTTGGGTTTTTCTACTAGTACCACCAATCATGTGCAATCTCACGTGTTTGAAGAGGGCGACTCAGAATTCAGGGCAATCTTTGAGGGCGAGGAGGACAGTGACGACCGCGAGAGCATCAGCGACTACGTTGAGTACCTTCACGATGCGTCTGACTTCGACACCACCAACAAACAGGGGGTGACTGTTGAAGTCAAGGAGGCAATGAAGGGGCGCGTGCTTTTCTTGTTCTCTGATCTTGACGGCAACATGACAGTGGATGCCTTGAAGAACATGATTGCCGAAGATGCCGAGCGGAGGGCAAATGCGATGGTTTTGTCGGACAAGCCAAAGAAGGTTCTGACTTCCGATTGCTTCATGCTACGCACCAGCGAGGGCATGAAAATGGAGGACGGCATCATTGCGGATTACACCGAGGAGGACGAGGGCGCGCTTGTGGTGCATTTGATGCTTCGTCTCAAAGGTGGTGCAAAGGGGGTGAAGCAACAGGTCAAGACTAAGGAGAAGGTGGATGCCTTCAAATCCCGCGCCATCAAGGTGAAGGAAGTTGCCGTGCTTGATGAGTTGCAGTTCTTCAAGCACATGATTGACACCTTCATGACCCACGTGGAGCACGACAGTGCAGGAACCATTCAGCATCTTCTTTCTGCCTTGGATGCGGAAAGGTTGGGGAGTTTGTCCTTGATGCTTGGCAATGCCAAAGGCGCCACGATGGAAGTGAAAATGTCCGACATCGCCATCAAAATGTTTGGGGTCAATGGCGAAAAGCTTGAGAACCTCTACGGTCAGTGTGAGAGTCTCTCGGGATTTGCGACCTCGTCCATGTGCTACGCCATGTCCAACGCGCAGTGGAACATCTCCAATCTCAAAAAGTGCGTTGACGCCGTGATGAACCAGAAGATTGGGCAACAGGACCGCTTCCCCCCATTTGTTCAATGGACCACCCCCATTTTTTCAATGGACCACCCCCATTTTTTCAATGGACCACCCCCATTTTTTCAATGGACCACCCCCATTTGTTCAATGGACCACCCCCATTTGTTCAATGGACCACCCCCATTTGTTCAATGGACCACCCCCATTTTTTCAACGGGCTTATATGTTTCAGCCCTGTCAGATGGCGATTTCGGCATTGCAGAGCCAGCAGGGCGACACTGGCGCATATGGTGGAGCATCCAACATGGAGAGTTGAGTTTCAGGAAGATCCTGAGCATCCTTGGCATCATTCGGAATTTTGGGGTTGCCCTCAATTGTAAAGGAGCGGCACTCCGATTTTTCACTGGTGTGGGTAGGACTGCAACAAACCTATCGGCAAAGAGTGCAAAAATCAGCGCACTTGCAATTGCTTTCGCTTCACTTCAAAGCAAAGCATTTCAGTGAAACCTTTTTGTGATCGACTGCGTGGCAGGTTGATGACAAGAACCACTCGTTACGGAGACTCAGATTGGGCGGTGGGTGTTGATTGGACGGTGGGTATTTTGTCTTGAAGCCTTGTTCCCACTGCATTTTGCCATCCAGATTTGGAGGGTGTTCGGGCGGGAATGGTGGTGGTCTTTCATTTTCGGGGCGATCTGATCAGAACAATTTCGGTTGAAAAATGGGGTTCTTTTTTAGACTGTTCGTATTTGTTGGAAATGGGAAAGGGTCTCAGGTTGGATCAAGGGAGAAATTATTGAGATCTTGGGGTTGCAATCTTGGGAATGAAAAAATGTTGGTATGTAGCTTGGATATTTTGGTGGGATTTGTTGAGGTGGTATGTAGTTATGATTGTTGTTATTGAATGAGCATAGGGGTGATGTTGAGATGGGGTAAGAAATGAAGAGGGGTGTGTGAATATGTGTTTTTTGGTGTTGGATTGGTTGGGTGATTGAATTTGAATGTTGAAAATAGGTTGTTTTAGTGGGCGTATTCGAATTGTGCCCAAAAGTGTGGGGGGGACCCTAGGACCGGATGGCAAAATGTGGACGGGAGAGGCCACCACTAACTTTTACTGGGGGGCTTCTGGAGCCAACGATTCAGCCCTTCCCTCAACCCTTGCCCGCCAAAACGTCTTAAGTAGCGCTAGGAAAAATCCCGGGATCTGACCTCACGGGGAAGCTGAGGGACCGCAGTGGCAACATGGTGCCCCTCTCTAGGGCCGATTTCGGAAATCGTCGACATGCGTCTGCGTCCAGCGAGGGTTCCAAAAACAAGCAGGAGGGTAGGGCCAGCTGTCCCACGTCCCCAACGTGACAATGGACTAGCAGTCGTACAGCAAGTTGCTCGCAGGGAATATGCTGTAGACGCCGCATTTTGGATGCATGGAACCGAAAAGCTCCCATAATCCGCTTGAAAGGGTTCCGCTTTGACTGAACGAAATGCATGGGGTGGACTGCCAGGTTTGCCCAAATAGAGCAAACCTATGTTTCAGGCTTCCTTACATGGACCCTTCAAACCTCATGCTTGCACCACATCAAAGGGGACTTTTGGGGTCGAGGGGTTCCTCCTCCAAGGAACATCCTCACTCTGAGTGTACCTTGGGTAACCAACAAACGGAAACCTGTACCCAAGTCTTGCATAGACATTGACAGGTTTCTTGCTCTGTCCACTTCCAACATCGCCCCACCAAAGGAAACTCACTCGAATGGCCTTTCCAAAAAGGTGATGTCCAAAACACAAAAGCGACCTGAGTGGCTTTCCAGCCTGTCTGGGATTGCTTCAACGAGACACCGAAAGGAAACCACCTATGTTGGATGATGCCTCCTTTTGCAAAGGCACAGCCAAAGCTAATTGGACCCGGCCCCCACCCCCTCCCTAAGGCACCGGTAGTGGTTGATGCGATCCGGCTGCACGGCCCAGTGCCGCGCCACCCGCAGCCAGTCTCGGAGCCGGGACGCTCGCTCCCCGTGGCGTCAAAGCAAAGCGGAAAAATAAGTTCATTCACTTGGCCCCGTGATTTTGGTTTTAACGGCAGACCGCCAAAAAAAGCGGACCACTTTGTGGAGATACCCAAATTTTACGCAGCTCATTCAAAACCTGTGTTCGGTGTCCAGTGCAGCGAAGGAACAGAAAGGAAAGCATGCCCAGAACCGCTTGACACCTATACGTCCTATGCACCACACCACACCGCGTTTCAGTGGAATGTCGAAGACAATGAGAACCTCCAGGGAATCAGACCGCTTGGGACTTGCGTGTAGATAAGAGGCCCTTTACAGGGCCTTTGGAGAACTGCCACTCGTTCTCAATCATTTGCAGCTTGGGCTCACATTACTTCACCTCCCCCTCGCCATCTAGCTGTCCTCCTCGCATCTGAGGAGTGTCTCCCCGAAGTTCCACCCTCTTCACCCAGTTGGCGTTTCTTCGGGACCAGCTGCAAGTGAGGAGTCACAGTTGGCATCGGTCGAAGGCTCGAAGCCGCCGTGCAACTTGCTTTGGCCGCGTGGCTTCCCATCCAAGTAGCTACTATTCAGCTGTTGGCTGGAAAACCGGTAGCCCTGAGTCTGCTCATGGGTCCAAAATTGGAAGAGCACCGTCTTGGTATAAGTCACAACTTAGGGGACGCCCCAAAATGGGTGGTTTGCCCTTTCATGTTCCTCTAAAACAAACCTGGGAAGTGGCACTCTCAAAAAGAACCAGAGATCCAAGTACACCCTTTCAAGGTACCTGGGGCTACGATACGAAAGAAAAACCCTGACCACTACTTAGGCCCAACAAACCTACCTACAGACCCAGGCAGTTGTCAGGGGCATGGGCGCCCGGGCTACTGAATTCCTCCGGCAAGGGCTCCTGACAACCTCGGGCGAAGCCGCTGCGCCGCACATGGTCGCAGGATGGAGTTGGAGACGCGATGTCTTTCATTTGGTTGGACTGAAAGGGAGACAAGGGACACCCACAATGGCAAATGAGGGCACAAGGGAAACTGGCTCTTGATCCAGCTCACCAGAATACCTGGACGAATCATAGCAAGCCCATCTATGAGGCAAGCTCACTCAGTGGGAATCCAGCAGCTCGGAAAGCTGGAACCCAAAAGAGTAACCAAATCATCATGCGTCCTTCAAAATCTTCAAAGCGGTCGCACACCTTTTTCGGCCGGTGAGGATGTGATTGATCTGGCCAGAGGCTTCGATCATCAACCCGTTTCGTCCTTGAGCGTCTGTTTGCGTGCCGGGTCAAATCGCAAACCGCCACCACTCAACGAAAACAACCGAAAATGACAGCTAAAGTCAGTCGGAAAAAGGCGGCCCTTTCCCCCATCCCCCCCGAGCCTGCGCACGCGGCCTGCAGATCCTTCAGCTCTTGAAAGGCTTGCTGGTCCTCGACAGGGGAGGACACAGCTGCGTTGGCCTTTGACTCCCTGCAACACTTCGACATTTGGCTCTAGTGGGGAACCAGCCAGCTTCCCAAAAAATAGAAATCGAAAATGGCCGAGCGAGTGAGATGCTTCCCAAACTCGAAGCGAACAGGGTACGTCCTTTTTTTTGGGCTGGTACCCTTTTGGGGGTTGTCTGAGGAAACATTCCCACTGTGTTTTCTTTGAGGGTATGGGGTTGGGGTTGAGTTTAAACTGGAAGACAAAGGAAAGTCACGAGCTTTGCGGCCACCATCTTGCAACGAAATGCGGTTCCTGTTTGCGAAACCTGGGTGAAACATGGAGCAAATCTCCCCCCGCAAGGGCCCAAGAAAAAGACACACGACATCCACTCGTGGATTCATGGAGATAATTAAGAGGTAGAGCAAAGGAAACCTTGGCAATTGGCTGGTTTCTTTGGGATTCCCTGAGGAGACCGTGTGTAGCTCTTGGGCTGGCCACTCCTTGCAACCAATGACTGCCCTCCTGAAGGGGCCAAGACATGGCACCTTGCAGAGGCCTGTGGGCAGGGACTGCATGATTGAGGAAGCTGTGCTTTGCCCCGCGTGTCCCTCCAATCTGGCTCACAGGCAGCTGCCGGTCACTGCTTGACTGTCTCAGCAAGGCGTGAGGCACATGTGGAAAGCAGAGTGCTGCAGGAACTGACCAAAACATCTTTGGACCCCTTTCGCTTCCAAGATTGAACACGAGCCACGCAGGGCACCTTTTGAGGAAGATGCCTGTTGGGTGGATCATACCAAAAATCGGTCCGTATGAAAGGAACAATTAGCATGGGTATTTGGGTGCCCTCCCAACTTTTGCAGAAACAAGCGAACCAATCAAAATAATATGAGAGCTAAAACCGATGAGATAATCTGAGAGCTGAAAGAGATTCAATTCAAGCATTAAACCAAATATGAATTCACAACCTGCAAAACTAATGATGATGATCAGCTGAATCAACGTCATCGTGGGGGCCAAATAACTCGCTTGACCACTCAGATGCGCTCTCGTCGAAATTATGCGGAAGCATCTGAATTCCCTAAATACAAGCAAGTGAACCAAGCACACCGCAGGACTGCAACATTCTACTATCATCAAAGTCACCCCCCCCCCAAAGTGGTGGGCCCTGTTTCTGACTTCGTCCCCAGAAATAAACATCATGAGCCCTGAGCCCTGTGTTTTTTCTCACCGTCCTGGCCGCCGCATTCCAGGCGCGCCACGGCGAGGCCTCAAGTTGCAACTTGCAGTCGAGATCATTCGTAGCTCAAGGACCCATCAGAGTTATAGGCTAGCCATCTAAAATGGCAGGAGACAAAACGGCGTCCGGAAGGAGCAACCCTGAGAGTGTAGACCAGTGCTATCTCCCTGTCCATGTCTCTGTCGCTGCTGTCTCTGTCTCCCTCAATCTCTCTCTCGGTCTTTCTCTCTCTCGCTCTTTCTCTCGCTGTATGGCTAATGTATGCAGGTAGGTAGGTATGTGTGCATTGATGCATGGATATGCACGTATGTACGTACGTGCATATGGCATGTAATGAAAAGTAATGTAATATTATGTTATTTTATGGTATTGTATGGTATGCTATGATATGTTATGGTACGATATGTTTATTGTGTTATGTATGTGGGTATGTATGTTGTATCATGCTATGTATGTATGTGTATGTGTGTATATATATATATATTGTGGTGTGGTGTGCTGTGGTTTGGTACAGCATAACATCTCAGTGTAATGCAATGCAATGTGCTGTACTGTACTGTACTGCACTGTACTGTACTGTACTCTAATGTACTGTAATGTAATGTAATGTAATGTAATGCAATGCAATGTAATGTAATGTGCATGTATTTCATGTAGTGTAGTTGTTGATTGTATTTCTGTGTATGGAATGGATGTCGTGCATGCAATGCATGCAATACATGTAATTGCAATGGTTGCAATGTATGTACTGGATGTAACATATGCAGTGCAAGTAATAAATGCAATGTATGGAATGTATGCAACGTGCAATGTGTGCAATGTGTGCAATGGACATGCTGCATGACATTGTAATGCAAGGTAACACAACGCAACGCAATGCGTTGCAATGTGACGTATAATGTAACGTACTGCGTGTCTGGATGTATGCATGCAGGTCATGTCGTGTCATGTCTTGTCATGTCTTGTCATGTCTTGTCATGTCTTGCCATGTCATTCATGGAAAAGAATGGAATGCAATGCAATGCAATAAAACTAAATGGCACGGCACAGCGAGGCATGCCATGGCGGTACGTATGTATGTACGCATGTCTGCCTGGCTGCCTGTATCTACGCATGTGGTATGTACGTATGCACGTAGGTATGCATGTGCACATCTACACTTGTACGCATGTACGTGCGCACATATGTCCGTACGTCGTGCATGCGTGAGAATGTACTTCAGCATGTGATGTGACGTGAAAAAATGCAATGTGATGTGATACAATGTGATGTGATGCAATGCGATTCGATGTGTGTGTGTGTGCGTGCGTGCGTGTGCGTGCGGGTGGGCGGGCGGGCGGGCGGGCGTGCGGGCGTGCGTGCGTGCGTGCGTGGGTGGGTGGGTGGGTGTGTGTGTGTGTGTGGGTGTGCGTGTGTGTGTGTGTGCCTACGTGCAATGAGCGCAATGCAATGCAGTGCAACGCAATGCAACGCAATGCAACACAATGCAACGCAACACAACGCAATGCATTGCAATACATGTATGTACGCATGCGTATATGCATGCGCCCTCATAAATGAGTATAGAAAGAGAGAGAGAGAGAGAGAGAGTGCTGGTGTATAACCAGGGGTGCGCGGTTGTTAGTAAATGATTGCGCAACCCTAGAGGCACACCCACAACATTGGAGGACGTAGCCCTGAACAATCCTCGTTTTACCCCCAACCAGTGAGTTCACCACAATTTGAGCTGAGTTCTTCAAAGAAGCCGGGTTGAGCCGAACATCTGCTTAAACGTGTTTCACCGCGTCTCAACAACCTCACGTTACCTTCCTTCACTTCAAAGGGAACCAAATGACACAACATTCTTCAGACCCAGGGCCAGTCCGGCTAAGGCGTACCCCCCAGGATGAGCTCGACCAAATATGCAGCCCACCATAGGATCCCAACCCGCCCATCCTTGGAGAATACAAGCAGGCTTGCGCTTAGAGGATGGATGATGTCCACCGCAGCTGTTGCACCCAGCTAATATTCACATGTTCAACCTGCACTGAACAGATCAACCACCCCCATGCGGCTCGGAGGAATGTGCACTGAGCGCCGAGCGCAACTGATTCTCCCCGGTGGGCGCCAAGGTGACCAGGCGCTGCGACAGGGCCAAAGCCTCTCAGAAACCAACTGGCAAGTGGCGCGGAGGCAGTTACCAAAACCTTCTGGATCACTCCATTGGACATGGGACATTTCCGTACCGAACTGTTGATTGGATATTGGCAACTCCCTTCAGCCCGGCACAGCAAATCCAAGTACAACGCTAATCACCAATGGCTCAGGTGGTTGAGTGTGTGTGTGTGTGCGTGCGTGTGCGCCAAAACAAGCCCAGCCCATGACGCCGGTAGAAAAAAGGGAATCCATTTTGGGGTCGGCCATTTGTAGTGAGCACTCAAACAAAAAGGGATTTAGAGGTACATCTGGGATTATTTCACCATTGTGGCGGGCTGGCTGGATTTAAACAAATGTGCCGTGTGCCATGAATCTCGCGCTCATGAGTCATGGTCCCTGGCGTACCAACAAAGCTGCGAACTGCCTGATGGCTATGCGATTCAGCAAGATGCAACTGTGTGGAGCGTTTTTTGCTTGCCTTCTCTTTGTCAGCATCAGCAATAGCGGCCTACGTAGCCCTGCCATGCATCAAACTTGCGCTCATGCTGTTCGCCTCCTCTTAGTAGCACAGGCATCCACCAAGCACTGCACAATTGCCTGATGGGCCTCCTGTGCAGCAAGATGCAACGGTGTGGCGCCCTCGTTGGTCGCCTTGTCTTTGTCAGCACCGGCATCCAACAAGCACTGCACAACTGCCTGATGGCCCTCCCCAGCAGCAGAATGCAATGGTGTGAAGCCCATGTTGGTCACGTTCTCTTTGTCAGCACCGGCATCCAACAAGCACTGCACAACTGCCTGATGGCCCTCCCAAGCAGCAGAATGCAACGGTGTGGCGCCCTCGTTGGTCGCCTTGTCTTTGTCAGCACCGGCATCCAACAAGCACTGTGCAACTGCCTGATGGCCCTCCCCAGCAGCAGAATGCAATGGTGTGAAGCCCATGTTGGTCACGTTCTCTTTGTCAGCACCGGCATCCAACAAGCACTGCACAACTGCCTGATGGCCCTCCCAAGCAGCAGAATGCAACGGTGTGGCGCCCTCGTTGGTCGCCTTGTCTTTGTCAGCACCGGCATCCAACAAGCACTGTACAACTGCCTGATGGCCCTCCCCACAGCAGAATGCAATGGTGTGAAGCCCATGTTGGTCACGTTCTCTTTGTCAGCACCGGCATCCAACAAGCACTGCACAACTGCCTGATGGCCCTCCCAAGCAGCAGAATGCAACGGTGTGGCGCCCTCGTTGGTCGCCTTGTCTTTGTCAGCACCGGCATCCAACAAGCACTGTACAACTGCCTGATGGCCCTCCCCAGCAGCAGAATGCAACGGTGTGGCGCCATCATTGTCTGCCTTGTCTTTGTCAGCATCGGCATCCAGCAAGCAACGCACAACCGCCTGATGGCCCTCCTGTGCAGCAAGATGCAACGGTGTGGCGCCCTCGTACGTCGCCTTGTCTTTGTCAGCACCGGCATCCAACAAGCACTGCACAACTGCCTGATGGCCCTCCCCAGCAGCAGACTGCAACGGTGTGGCGCCATCATTGTCTGCCTTGTCTTTGTCAGCAACGGCATCCAGCAAGCAATGCACAACTGCCTGATGGCCCTCCTGCGCAGCAAGATGCAACGGTGTGGTGCCATCATTGTCTGCCTTGTCTTTGTCAGCACCGGCATCCAACAAGCACTGCGCAACTGCCTGATGGCCCTGCTGTGCAGCAGAATGCAACGGCGTGTTGCCCCTATTGTCTACCTTGTCTTTGTCAGCTCCTGCGTGTAGCAAGCAGTGCACAACTGCCTGATGGGCCTCATGTGCAGCAAGATGCAATGGTGTGGCGCCCTCGTTGGTCGCCTTGTGTTTGTCAGCACCGGCGTCTAGCAAGCACTGCACAACTGCCTGGTGGCCGTGCCATGCAGCAATAATCAATGGTGTGACGTCTGTATTGGTCGCCATGTCTTTGTCAGCACCGGCATCCAGCAAGCACTGCACAACTTCCAAATGGCCGTTTAGAGAAGCATTGAACAAAGGTGTCGCATGGCTGGTGCCAGCGTTGGGATCATGAGGCTTCTCCAGCAGCTCTAGCACATGTGGTGCGTTGCCTGTTGCAGCCGCTTGCAGCAAGTCGATGCCAGTTGCCAAACCGTCTGATTCACCAGTCGCTGCTTCAACATATTGCCGTTGAATTGCCGTCAGGCACCCAGCATTCTCCCACGGAGTCTCTGGCCCCAACATGCCTAGGTCGCCAGCCAGCGCTAGCTGCCTGAAGTTCGGCAAAAGCAATCCTTACTTGGCATGAGAAGATGGACAGCACCATGTGAATTGTTGCTATTTAATGATCTTGAATAAAGGAGCACAAACAAATGCAAAATCGGGTACCAATCAGCAATCGGGAATCTCTTGGCCAGGTGGCGTCGTAGCACGTTAAAAAAACAAACCCCATCTTCCTGTCCGCACAGCTCGTCCCGCCACAAAGAATACTCTGCCGTCGTCATTACCTCCGTGCCATCTAGCAAGCGAACGCACGCCATGATTGAATTGGACACGCCTGCGCTCGAGCTCAATGCGCCTCACGTATTGCATAAGCATGCTTGCAGCAATTTGTTAACACCCTGCGAAAAACGGAAACAAGTAGATTCTTGTTTGGCCATTCCAAAAGGTGAAACATCTCAGCCACCCCATCTCAGCCACCCCATCCCAAGTAGGCGCAATTCAAGCTCCAGGCTTCGTAATCTACAATTGTTCTTATTAATTAACAAAGCTCATCCCTCGGGTCTGCGGTGAATTTGGGGACCGGCCTTTCGCGTGGTTGAAAGAAAGATGGGAGGGAGATCTCTTGCATTGACTTCCAACTAATAGTACATATAATATTGCCAGGAGGCCCACGTAGTCGATGACAAGGCAGTTGGGACAATGGAGTCGTATAGTAGGGGTCGTTGCAAATAGGGGTTGTAAGGATAATATGGACTGCGTTGTCTCACAACTAACTGCGACAGCGGAGCACGGTCCTTTTGCCTCTTTACAGCTTTCTGTTGGATATTTGTCTTGAACCACTTATTAAGAACTTGAGCCAAAGCACCCATATGCATGAGTCGGCTGTTCACACAACAACATCCCCGCAAAGGTTCAAGGAACCTTAAAGGAGGGGAAGAGAACAGGGTGACCCTCAAAACCTGCCCTTCGGATTTTGGCCTGTGGCCCGGAGAGTCTTAGCATCCCCCATCCTGGGCTCGGGTTCATCCCGGGGTCAGGAACCATCCACAAACACATGCCGACATGCATGGACGCGCGGCTTTTCTCATTCAATTCTGCGAAACGTCTCTGCACGAGTTTGACCAGATTCTGTGTATTTAACAGGAAACAAGAATGCTACAGGTCGCATACCGGACCTCATGTGCGTTGATGCACACGCGGCAAACGATCTATCAGGTAATGGCACAGATCCAGAACAGTCTGCAGAAAACGACATCCATGACGACCATAGTCCACCACCAATTTGTAACCAATAATGATTTGTAGCATCGAGTAATCATTGACCACCAAATACCTGGCATCTCCAGAATAGTAGTTGCCGATGACGATACTGTACGGAAACCTGAAAATGTTCTGTGGTGACAAATGCAAGTCTCATGCAAATACTTTTGGGTTGATCATGGTACCATGCACGATGAGTACCACGATCCCATTGTGAAGAAAATGCGATCTCCAGTTGATCCTGCACATAGTAGAGATCGTATCGGAAATGCTTGATCACCAGTGCGATGACGCCGTGATGGCCTTTCTACTCGCCCTCCACCGGAACCTTTCTAGCAGAGAATGTGGTGTCTCCTCGGTCCGATTGATCTTCTCGATATAGCGCGAGGGCAGATGTGTATTGCGATGATAGCACCATTGGATAAGAGGCGTATCAACCTCTTTGACGCCTTGAACGCAAATTATGGCAGCAAGATCAACTTTCAAGTGCTTGCGTCCAATGAGCACATCTGTTCGGTAGAAGGGCATGTAGTCGCAATTGAGGCCAAGGGCAATGCATCGGAAAATCGTATCACGTACAAAGGCGATGTCCTTCTGGTGATTGATGCCTCTGAACTGCTCTGCCCTGATACCAAGGGTATAGCAGGCGGTCCAGATCCGATACATCATGTACAGCCCTCTCAGCTTCAGGGACCAAGAAAACGTCTCTTCATCCCTGTGGTTCGCACTTTGGAACCTTACATTCCTAAATTTGGGAGCGGCAACGACTTCGTCGTAGGTGGGCGGAACAGGAATGTTCTGCTCGTCGACTTCGGTGAAAATCCAGTCGTCCCTCCCATTGATTGCAATGTAGGGACAATAGATTCCGCCAGCTTTGCCAGCTTCCTTGACCAAGTCTGCCTCGTTGTTGGCGAATACCTTCCACACCTTGAAAAGTATGACGCCAATCAAGCCGGCCGGAGAGGTATGACGCCTCGCCAGGCTCGTCGACGCAAATGGCCTTGACTTGCAGGAAGTGAATTGCGTCCGCATCCTCCTCGGGATTGTCCGGACAGACTCCCACATCATCATCGTCGATATCCGTCCCGATGTCTGATGGGAGGTACGATCTGTCTGAGGGTCGTCCCTCGCTCATCTCATTGGTGTCGGTTCATTCTTCCTCGGCGACGATGCGCTCAGCATCCTCCTTTGCTTCTCGCTGAGCTTGCTTCACTTCCTCCGTCACCTTTGTGGTGTCGGATGCTTTGGGCTCGTCCTCATCCACATGGATCACGAACTTGCCGGTGGAAATGAGCTCACAGTTACATGCCGTGCAATAGCAAAACCCCCCTTCAAATGATGACAGCGCACGCTGGCCATACTCTGTTGGAAATATTTGATGGGTCGTCCTTGCGGTAGACAATGAATCTGCTGAGCAAATCCCTGATGTCAATCAACGAGTTGTTCAAAAGATCGGGCACTTCGATGTTGATGCACGCCGTGACAACCATCTTGTTCAGGATCTCAGCATCCGCAGAGTCTTCATCGTCCATGAAGCTGTTGAGGT